GGGGTGCGGAATTTGATGCCTCACTCGTTTGAAGTATCCATGTAGAGGTGGTGCAAGATTTCGTCCATCCACCGAAGGGCAGAAGTACGTTAGCATCTTTTGCAACGCTGCCAAAAGCTGCTCTGGACATTAAGAAGCTTAAAAACACTATATTTCTTGTAAACGCAGCAAACGCATGCAAAATGACAATCAACACTCAGTCAACACTCAGTCAACACTACAGTCAACACTACAGTCAACACTGCCAAAATGCTGGAAAATCCAGCATTTTGCTGTTCTGGACAGTAAGAAGCTAAAAAAACTTATATTTTTCTTTAAAACGACCAATGACGCAAGCGGAGGGGCGAAGAGATGGCGGGAGGGAACGTTTCCGTTGGCCGGAGTGCACCCCAGGCCGTCCACTCACTCACTCACTCACTCAAAACGAGTGAATTGTCGAATCTGCTGGTATTGCCAGGGTTTTCGTAGTGTTGACTGTAGTGTTGACTGTAGTGTTGACTGAGTGTTGACTGAGTATTGACTGAGATTTTGCGCGTGTTTGAGGCACCTTGGGAGTGCGAAACTGCATCCCAGCAAAGTTAAAGTCGTTGGAGCCACAGCTCATCATTCACGCTCGTAGAACATACCTGGCAACACTCGCCGAAAGGGACCGTAGGAGTCATGCCCAACATCCGCATTTTCTCAGCCTTGCCGTTAGCCACATTGAGGCACACATTGGGCAGCGTGCGAATTCCTGTCACAGGGGGTGAGCCTAGGGCCCTTAGCCCTGTGGAAGTTATTCAGGTGGCGTTGATGTGGCGTCTGGTTAGAAAGAAGTTTGACCTACCGGACGTGGATCCTCTCGAAGATCCCGGTCAGCAAGTCGGTTCAGCTGCTCCTGCTCAAAGCGCGGGACAGGCCCCGGCAAAGCGAATCAAGACCTCATCAGTTCTGGACCAGCTGGATGAATCAGAGATTGAGTTGTTGAGCAAATCCGAGCTGTATAGAGCTTATAGGAACTATCAAGAAATTACAGGTGCCGAACCCACCCCGGATTCGGAGCCTACACCAGAACAAGTGGCCGCGCTGCATGCTAAGGTAGTTGCACGTGGTGAGGCTCCATACGCTGATTTCTCGGTGTTGACGCCTTTTGGCCGACGCGTGCAGAAGCAGATGAAGGCTCGGGCATGGGTGCTCCAGCAAGACGGGACTTTCAAAGCGCTGGATGTGCCCGGGCCACCGTCCTTTGAGGCATGGGCAACTTGTACAAAATACGCCTGTTTATGCTCAGGCACCCTGGTACTGGGTCCCCACCGGTGCCGAAGCAGGTGGTCACCTCTGCTTGCTTGGACGAGTACTTTAAGCGGTTGGCGAGGCTCAACGCAGATTATCTTGAATATTGGCGTTTACTCATGGTGGCTGAGGACAAGCTGCGTGCAGAGCTTTTCGAGAGATTTCGCCGGCAGCTCACGAAGGCTAGCCTTGAAGGGCGCCTGCCAATGGGCATCAATTTCGATGCCGCTGCCCCTTGGACAGGTGTGTTTGTCTATGCTGCCCGAAACTGGGAGTACTGGCACGACAATGTGACGAAACCAGCTCAAGATTTCTTGGCAAGGGGCGGCAAGCTTATGAGCGCTGAGAAGGCCAGCAGGATCAACGTGCCGGAGCATGTGCAGGAGGCTGTTGACAATGCTATGGGAAAGGGTGCAGCCTTTAGCAAGTCGTTCCAGGGGACCCCATTTCAGGGAACCTCAAGGCAAGCCAAGAAGCGCAAGAAGGAACGTGAGAGGAGAGAGTCGTAGCCAAACGAAATCTTTGATTTCAAAGGCCAATTATCTTCATGTCACTTTCTCAGGCGGGTCAGTTTCCTACCCTGCAGACCCTTTGGCAGGGCAGGAAACTTGCCTGCTGGAGAAGACCGTTGCTCTATGTTTGTGGGCGCTCAAGTTGGATGGCACAGTTTCCTTCGTCAGCGCTGAGAGCTCCCCCGTGTGGCAAATGAAGCTCCTCCAGCGGCTCTCGCGAAGAGTACAGCGGCAGCCTTTCAGTTTGCTTGTTTGCTTCAGAGTAATGGCGAAACAGGGTCTGAAAGGGAGATCGCAGTCCTAACTAACGCTGAGTGGTTGACATCTGACGTACACCTCGCCGTGGACCATGGTGGACGTGGCTGCAACCCGTGGGTATGCCATGCAGATGCGTTGGTTCAGTGGCTTCACTCTTCAGAAGGGTAGCGTGCCAGAAATCAAGTGACCTATATGAGAGTGGGTGAGCATCAAAATGATCTTGTCAGGAAGAGCCTCGTTCATGGCAACGTTGTGGATGCTGACGCAAACAATCCGAGTTCCCAGCTGCAGTCGCGATCACAGATCAGGGAGCAAGAAAATGCATCATGCCTTGACGGGTTCCGGGACCCGAGACGGGCAGTTGCACGATCGGCGTCGTTGCGCAAGGCGGGTGATAACATTCGTGTTGCCTTGGATGCATGCTTGGATGATTGCGCTTTGGACTCATTCGAGAAGTCGACAGCGACGCGCCCCTTTCCTGAGTCTGTTATCGCAAAAGCAAGAGCTAGGTTGAGCGTTGTCTTTCGCGCTCCCTTGAGAGAGCGTGGATTTCAAGACCAGCTCCTGCAGCAGTTGATGACGGAAGCCCACGACCCAGATGCGCACGTCGTGCCAAAATGGATGAATGAGGGGTTTCCATTTGGAATTTCGAGGCCCATCGTTCGCAGAAATGTCTTCCCCAACACTAACAGTGTTTCTGCGTCCATCAAAACTTCTCAGGCCATCGGGACCTTGATTGAGGATTGGGATGGTCGCGCGCAAAACTATAAATCCTTCCAGGAGGCTGGGCCGAAGGCTGAGCTAGAACTAGACCGGCTGGTTGCAGACGGCCGTGCCGATCTGGTATCTAGCTGGCAGGAAGTTACTGATGCAGTCGGGGCCCACGCCAAACTCCCAAAGCTGGCGTGCATCATCAAGCAACGAAGTGATGTTGAAAAGGCTCGGCTAGTAATCGACATGAGGCGTTCTGGGATCAATGGCTTGATGGATCTTCGTGAAAGGATTGTCTTATCGCGCATTTCCGATGTGGCAGATTCGTTGCGACACATTGTGAGGGATCCGCGAAATCGTGGCTTTACTCCTGAGTTTATGATCGCTGACTTCTCTGATGCTTTCTATACCTTGGAAGTGTACCCCGATGAGAGGGCGTACATCGTGGTCAAAGGCTCCAAAAGATTCTATCTCTTGAAGGTCATTTGCTTCGGATTGGCTTGTGGGTCGGTTCTGTGGGGACGAGTGGCTGCAGCTATAATGCGGCTGGGGCAAGCAGCGACTAGAGATCCTGAGGGTCGTGTGCAGTGCTATGTGGATGACCCATTGATGATTGCCATGGGTAAGGAGCGTAGGGACAGAACCTTGGTATTTATCAGATTTACCTTGTTCTGGACCTGCCTTGGCTTCCAGCTCGCGTGGCGCAAGACCGTCCGAGGCACTCACATTGACTGGATCGGGATCTCTCTCCAGTTGACAGAAGATGCAAGACGTATGGTGGTATGCTTGACGGCTGACAAAGCCCAAAAGCTGCTTGATGCCTTTGCCGAGATCAAAGCTGCAAGGGCATGATAGCCACTGCTCGTTTGCGACAAATTGCCGGCCTTCTCAGCTGGGCCTCCAACCTCATGCCCAGTGGAAAGCTGCCTGGCCAACCCGCCGGAGCCAGTCCCCCCGGAAGGCAAACACTCATGAATTGCTTCATGAATCCTAAACCCTAAACCCAAAAATAATGTCTAGAGTGACAAGTTGGTTATGTGAGGCCGCAAGAAGGCGGACAAGAAGAACAAGAGCAAGCAGGCCAAGGCCAAAGCAACCTCGAGGGGAAGGTAAGGCCGACCCCGATGAGATCAAAGCCGAAGTGGGTTCTACGGGCCATGATGTTCCGAGCACGGTGCCCAGCCTGAAGCGATCCAGCTTCTTGGCTTGCTGTTGCAGATTTTGACTATTGTCTGAGTGTGCTGATTGGGGCGGGGTTGATTGCAGTCATGTTTTGTGTGTTGAACTCAGGACGTTTCCTGGAGGACAAGGTCGATGAGGACATGAGATCGGATGAGGAACCCGAGGACGACATTGGCATCCACCCTGACGTTTACAATTCCTTCGAGCCACAGTACCGAGACGTGCTGCGAAAGTTGCCACTGGTGCTGCGACCTGGAAGCATGCAGCACGGGAAGCACAGCTTCACGAGGACACTTGGATTCCAATCATTGCGAAAGAGTGTAAAAGTTTTCATGGTGCATATGAATCAGCTCATGTTGCATTTCCATTGAGAACTAAGGGTTCTGAAGGATGAGAAGGATCGTGTTCACCGTGTGGAGGTGTTGCTCCGCCAGCAGGCCTTCAAACCGAAATTTCCCGATGGCAAAAAGTCCACCTCGAATCCCTGACAGCATCAAACATTAATGGTAGTGTGTCGTTTCAGCTTGCCTTTCTTGCTCGATTTTGGAAATATCCAAGGATTTCCTTCAAGAGCCAGCCCGTGCTGGATGCCTTTGCTAAGCTGATGCAGCAGCTGGCTGACAGCCCGTAGGGCAATTAAAAATCATTTTGCTCGGGCAGCTGATCAGTGCCCACCTAGACACCAGAAGGATTTTGGAGGGCCCGGCGGGTTTAAAACAGATATGTACAATATACGATATTGAGCGCGCTTGGTTTTCGGCTAGCTGGCTCAGCTTTCCTTCTCGAGCTGATCTCTGTAGGAGTCCATGTCTGTAAGCACGTGGATGCCCTCGCTTTCAAGGCGTTCAGACGAAAACAGAGCTCCAGTTTTCGCAGGTAGTAACTACACTGTCCACATGTGCAAACGAATGCTTTCTGTGCACGCGTGTTGCCCAGGAACGTTATGGTGGCACGCGTTTGCTTCTATTTACTGATCCTCTTGGAACTCCGGCTGCCCTGGTGCCTCGAACAACCGGTTGGGTCATTGTTGGAAAAGCACCCGATGTTCGCATACCTGGTCCGGAAGTACGATGTGTACAAGGAGGTTCGGCTGCAAACCATTTTACCCCTTCGAATCACAGGATTTAGTTTTTCGCGGGGTCGATCTGAGGTCCATGTCTGGCTTGGTGCGTATGGAGCAGAAAGTTGCTGGTCTTAAAACCTTTACAGTCCATGTTTGCTGTCGGTGAGTTTCTATTGGCCACGTGGAGCTACTCAGGTGCCAAACCGGTATGGATCTACAGCAACTACAAGTTCATTCGAGAACTCTACATCCCGCTTCCTATGGACAAGGAGTGGACGGAGACTGTAACAAGGTATCATGGGCTCGAAGAGTACAATCTGCATGGTGTGTTAAGTTTGAGGGCCCTATGATCTAATAATAAGTCGATCCCGAAGAACCAAGGAGAGCTGATGCCGAGGGCAACGTCCGAGTTTATGGTGGTGATTGCTTGAAGCAAACACAACATTATCCCAAAGATTTTGGGAAAGCGGTCTTGGAGATGTACACTCGACACCAGGACTATATGTTGGGGGGGGGGGGGGCACGAAAAAATGTTTTGTAGAAAGAACACATCATGGTTGTGAATCAGAACAGGAGCAACAACAGTGTAAGTGCTCTCGAAGGACGAACGATATTGCGATGACTGTGATGGCCAGAGCCCTTCTGGAACAGAATTTAAAGCATTATCCAGCGGATGGCATGAACCAGGTCACACATGCTGTGGCTCAAGGAAGGAGCTGGCCAGGCACCGACAGCCCCAGATGCACGACTCTTGGCATCTTTAATGTATGGCGATTCTTTCTGTCTTAACATCAAAATGTGCATTTGTTTGTGTGTCGTCCAGATACATGTGTAGACTGTGTAGAATGTAATGTACTATGCATGTATGATGCAACACAAACTCATTATGTATTGCCAAGTAGTGCAGCTCGTAGTGTAATGCGAGTAAATGTAATGTAGTGTAAAACAAAGAATAGAAAGCACAAAGTAGTGTCATCTAATGTAAAAAAGGGTAATTTGTTGGGTTTATACAGTGGTACATAGCCGTTGTCTGGAAAGACAAGTATGTCTATATCTATATCTACATATGTATAGATATATATATGTATGATATTGCACATATGTACATATATACATTCGCATCTAAACATATAAGAATATAAATACATCTCTACATATATATGTTTATACACATGTTTATATGTGTATGTATACGTTTTTGTGTATGTACATATATCTATCTATATATATATATATATGGTCACACCCCCCCCCCATGATCCATATGTATCCTTTTCTTGCTTGTCCTTCTGCACCTGTGCTTATTTGCACATATGGTTGATGTGAAAAAACACCGGTATTTACGATACTTTCGTGTCTTGCCATGTCTGAAGCTACAACTTGCTATTGATTATCTACACTTTTAAACAACAGAAATCTACAAACAGAATCCGTTTCTGGATTTGGTTTTGTGTGGTTTGCTAATCTCTGTTATTCACTCTATAGTAGCTTCCAATATACACCTTCTTGAACTTCAACAATATTCATTGATTAGATAAATATTACCTTATAAACCAACATAAAAGAAGAGATGATAGAAGAGATGAAGGGGTTTCAAATAAAGCACCTAACACAAGAAGCAGACTACATAATGAAGTTAGAGACGAATTCGCAAAGACAGAGACATTCTTAACGGACACGCAAGGACTTAAATTAGCGTGTGAGAATCCTGACGGGATAAATCAAAAATGGTTCTATTTTATACATTGCTGGGACTAAAAGCTGTAGAGATGTTTATGGTGAT